TATATTCTTGGCATTGCATACATATTTTAAATGCACAGTTTAAAATGTAATTTTGTGAGCCAAAAATACTGTCTATATATTTGCTTTCCATAATGGTATAGTACTTCACGGGCATATTTCCATAGAGAGAAAAAGATTCTGCAGCAGTTCCGTGCCACTAAGTTTTAGAATCTATCATCATGCTCTAAAATAACTTCCAGTGGTCGATTCAAGATAAAGAAAAGGAACAAACATGAAGAATGAAAGGGAAAATCAGTATCGGAAGAAGAGAAGTTGACAACTAAGGGGCTAATGAGTCTGAAACCCAACGGAATATCATTATACGAGTTCACATGTACATTTGCACCAATGGTGTGCATCCGGTTTCAATGAAAAGTACACATTTCAGGTTTGCTAATCTTTCACATCTAAGATCAAAGTCCAGTTATCAGGAGACTTCTGTATTTAATCGTGCCATTTTCAGTTTTGTTTAGACTCTCATTCTTCTTTGGTCCTGAAAATAGCATACTTCACATCTGTTGCAAGCAAATTTAATTTAACATGGCAAATCTTTATAGAAAGACTATACTACTTTGGCCATGTGAGTGTAAACAATAGAAGACTCTTGACCTCAAGATCTTTCAGTATCATGGGGGCGGGGCAGGGGGATGGAAACAGATTTGAATAGTTGTGTAAGACAAGACAGAGCATGAAAAATGCTGTCTACACAGGAGCAGGAACAACTGCATCCTTCTGGGAGGCCCTGAGCAAGGATTTATATCATAGAACTGTAACAATGAAACAGGCTTTAAGTAGTCATTTGGGGAGATTCACAATTTTGGCTCTTATGGAAGCTTTTAGAAATACAGATTCACAGGCACTATTCCAAATTTATCAGAGTTTCTAGAGATAGGGATTAGGAATCTGACTTTTTCAAAAGCTCTCCCAGTGATTCTGATGATCAACTGGGCTTTGCGAACTTCTGATCCTACAAATCCCCTACTCAGTGCCAGAATTCTGTGAATAGTACTCATTCCCTCAGGATTTTTGTTTAGACCCTTTGGAGTACTGTAAGCTCACTACCTACAAGGCAGCTAGCCCTTCATAGAAAGTGTGTAGGGTGTAGGATTTTGATCATCAGAGATGGAGGATAAGGATATTTGAGGGAAAATTATCATAAGAAATAAACAGAAAATGGAGATAAATTTGGAGAAGAGACTTGGGGTTTCATTACAGAGTGACTTGAGTGTTGTGCTAAAGAATTTCAACTTAATCCTCTGTGAGATGGATACTGATCCTGCCAAAGCAGTGTGAATTAGACATCAAGAAGAATGGAAGTAGGTAGAACAACTGTGGGTTTAATTCAGAGATTCAAATGAGGTGTAGTAAGGACTTGGAACAGAAGCAAAGCTTAGTGCAGTAAATATGAGCTGTATTGCAATGATAGGCCTAGAAGTCTGACTGATTGAGGCAAGGAGGAATGAAAGCTGATTCTGGGGTTTTGAGATTTTGGAGTGCTAAGTTAACGTAAGTTAACTAGAATGGGAACATTAAAATCAAGGGAAGATAGTGACGGCAGGTGGCAAATCAGGTGTTTTTGATATTTGAAATGCATTTGTTTCTATCACCTCCCATCTTACTCTGTCACCTGTCCCAGGTCAGAGCTTAGTTATGACTCCCTTTGTACACTTGCAGGGTAGCATGAGGTAAGCGCTCAAAATGTTTGATGAATTTGTATATCCGCTGTGAATATCTTCTCTCTTAACTTCTTGGCTATAGACCAGGACCTTGTAGTATTTCTCTTGAATAATTACAGGCTTGAGGACCACCCCTGTTCTTACACCAGCTCCCATTCTTTTGGTGAATTAGAACAAAAAGCCCTGTCTGAGTTTATTAATTAGAGAAAGGTACAGTTATATGGGTGGAGGCAACCCTTTGTTCAGGACTTGGAAAGCAGAGCACACCTTTGTGGGAAGGTAAATGCTCCCCTTCATAGAATGAAAACCTCCTGTTCTAGGTCGGCAGGCATGGAGAGCCGAGTGCAGAGGTGGGCTTTTAGGCTTACCCATCCCCTCAACTGGCACAGAACACCCTGGAAAAGTCCCCCAGTTGATCTCCTGGATCCCACCCTGCCATTTCTGTTTCATTCAGTGATTTTTTCCCTAAAATGTAATACTGTTGTGCCCTGCTTTCCGTATTTCCCCAGTGCCTTCCGGGTACAGTTCAAAGTTCTTAAGCCAGCCCTGTATAACCACCTCGGATGCAGTCCTTTCCTGGTTGTGCTGGTTCTCCCTTCCTGTCTGTGATCTCCTGTTTACTAATTTCTTTTCCCCCAGCACCACAGTGTAGGCACCCAGCTCATGCTTGTCGAATAAGACTGATGACTTAAGAAACAAGTGAAAAGTGTGGATTTTACCACCCAAACCCCCCAAATCAAAAGACAAACAAAACAACAAAAAAGGCAGACACCACCCTCCTACACAAAAAAGTTTTGCAGCTTCCTAAACAGGAGGTGTCCTGTCAGTTAAAGCTTTTTGTTAATGCCTTCCGCTATACTTCTCTGTAGTCTTGAAGTGGCTGTTTATTTGGAGATTGAAGATCTGTGAGAAGATAATTGCTTTGAATGAAATCTGAGGCTGCAATTCCAAGGCTTATTTGCTCTGGCGGGTCTGTGTATTGGATCTTTGTGAAATGCTTTTAAAAAATTGCACACAGATTCAGGTGACGTACTTGACCTCTAAAAAACATGTCAACTTTGGAGATAGAGGACTCTGTCCATCTGCCCAACACTGATCTCTGATTGATGGCTTCATTTGTTCCAAATGTAGACTAGCCCAATGATAAACTTTTGAGATGCTTTCATAATCTTGTCAAAAGTTCTTGCCCAGAACCTTCAACCCAGTTGCTATTTATCTTTCCATGTGTGTTTCTCCTCTTTGCACAAAGAATGTTAAAACAGTTGTGAGAATGTATTCAATTTAAAAAGAAACAGTTAATTGTAAAGCATCATTTAAGTGTCAATAAAAAATTTTAAGTGGGTAAAACATGGCAGGTAGGAGATGAGAGTTGTGCCTCAGACGTGCAGGCCCAAGTATTGGTATAGTTGGTTTAACTTTCCTGGGACATCACCAAACTGGAAATTCATTCTGTTGCAGAGTTCTCATTGGTCTGTAAAGACAGTAATTTGTATATTAGTAATTGTCTATTTTGCTTCAGAGAAGCCAAGCTGTTAACAATGAGAAAACATGCTGCTTAGGCCACAAGAATGAACTCTGTAAATGTTTATTTTTTTATTTTCAACCTTAACAGTTTTCACTATTTATTTTTCAGCTGGTCTCTATTGTTTCCAGTAGTTATATTAGGCTTTTTTGTTGTTGTTGCTGTGGCTCTTCTAGTCAGTTTTTGAAACAGTTACTGACTTTAATGTTTATTTATTTAGAACTATTAACTATTACTCAAGAATTAGACTCTCATAGGAATAACTATTTAGAATTTAAAAACTATTTAGAATAAGTTTAGATGGAACTTGACTTCCAGTTTTGGCTTGGAGTATGTAGTATAGTGTCTCAGTCACCATACATTTCAGACAAAAACTTAAAGACCAGTGTGTTCTGCAAATGCAAGGTATGATGATTATAATGAGGGTATCAAGTCATATACTAATTGATTTAAACTGTGTTATTGTATTAATAAACGTACTTTCCATTTCCTATAAGCTGTTTTCCTTTTGAGTGTGCCTCATACCAATTTTCTATAAAAATAGGTTGCATATGACAGCTCATTAATTTTGTTGATATTAGAAAATTCCTCCCTCCTTCCCTTCTTTAAATATCTGTTGAGCAGCTGTTGGGGAGCCCAGAGAGACATACTGGCCTATGGAAGAGCTGTATCTTAAACAGCCCCTTCCAGTGTACCTGTGCTGTCCAGTACAGCACTTACCGCGTACTCAGTAAATATTTATTAATTTGAACTTGCCATTATCAATAATTTTATCATTTATTTCATTTTATCATTCATTTTAGTAGTAAAGGGTAAGTAGTGCCTACTGGTAGGATACTCTTACTTTCCAAATTCTAAGTCTACCCCTGACCTCAAAGAAAGGTACATAGCTTATTTGAAGCCATGCATGTGTTCATTCATGCAAAAATTATGTATGGAGAAAATGTAAAGTAGAGAAGAGGGGAAAAAGTCAGGATACTCTTCTGCTTCTTTCCTGCTATGCTTAGAATTAGTCATGTAAGTATTTACTGAATTTGCCTCAAAGATTAAATGAGAAAAAGATAGTAAGGCTGTTTAGCACAGTGCCTGACACATTGTATGTGCTCAGCATATACTAGTTTATTTATTATAATGCATTGGACTAAAACTAGAGGATCTCACTCCTTTATTCTGCATAATTTGCCATCCTATCTTCATCTTTTCTTTTTCTTTTTTTCACTTCAAGGATGGTCTATGTGTGCCTTTTTTCCCTCAATATGTAGAATGGGTTCAATGCTTAGTTACCCAATGAAGTGCAGGCAAGAACTTAAGCTAGCGCTTTCCTTAAATTTCTTCTATGATTTAAGACACCTTGGGGAAAAGATAGGTGAGCTTCTACATCAACGGATGATGATTTTTATCTTTATCAAGTGACCCACAATTTGGTTACTGGTGCAATGAGAAATTAAGAAAATAGCACACTTTTATGACTGTCTTTTCACAGTCACTCAAATCAGAACTGGAATGCCACAAAAACAACTCCCTGTTAGCCCAGAGAAAAAAAAAGAAAGAAAGTAAAGGGGAAATTCAGATTAGTCACAAAGAAGTTCCCCCGCCTGCCTGCAAAAGCTGAAGCATTAAAACTGAGAGAGTCCTCTCTGCTCTTTCAATCGCCTCTTATCTCTGGTCCTGGGACCTCTGTGTATCTTCTAATTGATACACCTTGTGTTGGCTTCACCTCCTTCTTTGTGGGGAAGAAGTCAGTTCTCCCTCAGGTTTCCCTCTGTCACAGTTTTCATCGTCCCTGCATCCAGATTGTGAAGATGGAAGGGGTCCAACCCCTGGACGAGAATGTGGGAAACACACCAGGACGGAGATTCTTGAGGAACAAGCTATTGCTGGTGGCCTCCGTAATTCAGGGGCTGGGGCTTCTCCTGTGTCTCACCTACATCTGTCTGCACTTCTTTGCTCAGGTAAGATGCACCAACCAACATGTCCTTTTCTCCAGATCAGGCTGATGGCAGCTGCAAATGGTCACTTGGAAATAGTCTGACACCAAATTGTTTTCCCTTTTCTGTTTGGAAATTGTAAAATGTGGTCAAGCACCCTCGTGTCTCTCTTTTCCTTCCTTTTTTTCGGCAGTGGCAGTGGTGAGGCACAGTGGAGATAGGGCAGGGGCACTGCTTCTGGATTAATCTTTTTCTTTAAAACACAAAAATCCTGGTATTCTTTTGTGAACTGTCACTTTGAAGCTTTATTTTCTTATTTCTCACCCTGACATACCTACTTGGTTTATCTGTTCTGCTAGTAAGCAACTGATCAGGGAATTAATGTAAAAAGGAAATAATAAATTTTTAATTTCCTTTGTACATTATTATACTTTCTCATTGTATTCATAAACCCCATAGACTCAAGGAGATATGCTTTCTGAAGAATGCCGAAGGTATCAATATTAAGTTCTATTAAATAGCTAACCTATATATATTTAAGGGCAGAGATATATGTGTTCATGTCTGTATGTGCACGTGGCTGAATGTTTATCCCAACAACTTAATCAGACATTGTTTTTCACAGTCTTTCTCTACCAATCACAACTTACTGACATCACTTTGTCCAATACATTATGTAGTGGAAGATCATCATTTTAGTATTCCCCTCCGCCCCACGCTGCTTAATGAAGAAATTCTTTCCATTTTTCCATCTCTTTATTCTGGTCCTGTTTACATTATTATTTTTTTTCATAGTTGTTCATATGTAAAAACATTATTAGCTCTTTACGGATGTTCTTGACTGCAGAAGATTCCACTGAAAAAGAAAATAAATGTGTAGTGGCCCCATGTTCCCTTGTTGGGGCTAGTCTGATAATTCTTGTTTGCCTGGTGGTTGCTCTTGGTTAGAAAAGTCTCTCACTGGTAAAGGTCAGACAATGGGAACTTTCATTTCTGATGGTCAGGTCAGAGACTGGGTACCTCACATTAGATCAGGCTAAGATGAGCAGAGTCCTAGACGATGCCTGGGCTTGTCTCTGTCGACAGGAAACAGGTTCTCGGTGCCTGCAGTCTAATGGGGGTGCGGTCGTGATCACTGTCCCGCAGAGGGTGCTCGTGTCTCCAAATTCCCGCAGGGTACTAGTGTCATGCTCAAGTCTGCAGACCAGTGAGCACCCCAGCACACCCGTACTGTCTTCATCACGCCACACATTTCCTTCTCCGCGAAGAACCCTTTGGGTGAAATTAGAGTAGGTGATTTTGGGGAGAGGGTGTGGGGGGAGGAGCAAGGTGTCCATGGCAGGATGCCCAAGACAAAACCGGAATTAGGCTCTTCCGAGAAGAAAACAGAGTAACCCAAAATAGAACAGCTGAGTTTATTCACAAGGTCCGGGAGCCCTGAGACTGCTTTTTGAAACAACCACAATGTTACATATTTCCTTGCACTGTGGGATGATTTAAAAAAAAAAAAAAAAACGAAAAAACAGAACAGATGGCCCTAGTCAAGCCTCAACAATTAATTGCACTAGGGCTTAGAGGATGGGAGAGAGCAAAACATGAAACAGATACAGACGTGTAGCTAGCTGGTGGCAGGGGGCCACCCTGGAATATTAATACCCAGGGGAGGCATCAGAGAGGGGTTCTTTCTAGCAAGTCACCCAGCAATTCTGTGCTAGAGCGTGGAAGGGCAGCTGAATGCTGACTTCTAGGATACTGGAACTCACGGTGAGCTGATCTTTGGAGAGAATTAGCTTTCTCTGGTCCTGGCACAGAAAGGGATGCAAAGATGGAGGAGGTACGTTAGAGCTGTTTGCTCAAAAACTGTGTTCTTATATATTCTAGATACAAAATTTTCTGTGGCTCAGATATTTGGAATTGTTCACTTGACATTAATTATTTTCTTATTTCTCACTAGACTTAGCTAACACAATTTCTTATACTGTTAATGGGACCCAAGGCAGTACGATGTGTCCTTAATTGTGATCTCATACACTTTGTTAAGGGAAAGGATAGCTTAGAGAGGTCATGTGTGTTTTTCCCAGGACTTGATCAGTCATGGCGGCAGCAGTGTAGAGGAGAGAGACTGAGAGAAAAGGGTATACAGTAACTGCTGAAGAAGGAACATAGACTGGAGCTTTTCTAAATTCATGGATAAGATTGGGATTTTGGTTGAAGGATAGGTAGGTGGGGATGCCTATCAAAGCTCTACTTTTATAAGACATTGTATTACAGTGATCTATAGAGGAGTTGAAATAGAGCTGAAATACTTATCATTTACCTAGTTAAATTGGATCTTTTATTGTAGGAGAAAGATATTTGGGGAATAATCATGATTTTTCTTTATTTCTTAGATTTAATTTTTAACTTCATAAAAATTTTCCAGTGTGGATGAATCTGTGAAAAAAAATAGATATGTAACTGTTAAACTCCATTTGGCAGTCAGCCTTCCTTTCAATCAAGTTTATTTGGTAATATTTATTTTCTTACCACTTGGTTAAGTTTTACTATGTGAAAAGCAGAAGTTTTTGTTTTTGAGATGGCAGATAAAAAGACCTTACCCACTCCTTATATAATTCACTTCCCTCTTTGGACCCTGATTTTCTCTACTGAAACATGAGGCATTTGGATCAAATGGTCAGAAATATCTCTTCCAGGTCAATATCCTGTGAATATGTAGTTTATACTCATAAAATGGGTATGAGGATCTGAGAAATACAAATCTAAGTGAACAAATTTTTGTGCCTAAGCTTATGGATACCCTGGTTCTTAAGAAGGGACTGGGGGAAATCAGATTTGTACATATATGTGTAATCTGTATTTATTCATATACTATGCACATTTCTAAATAACTTATTCTGGATTAGCAAAATACCTTATTTATAAAGGGGAAAGAAATAGATACTGTACAATAATATCCATGATGCAAGTTTCAAAATTGAGTCACAAAAACCAGTATAATTATTGGGGTTGCCACTTCCAGGCTTCCAGGCTTCCCTGTAACTTCAGCTGGGAATGATGGCAGAAAAAAGTTGATGTATAAGGTGAGAAGCTTTTGTAAATTATACCCATGTATCTCAGAGCTATTGAAGCTGGGCTCCTCCAAGATCTGTATCAGAGCACTTGAAAAATGTGCTTTTAATGATTATTTATCAGCAAATCCCACCCACAGTTAAAGGTTTATATTCTTATCACTTTTATTACTGGAGAAGACAGAAGGGGAGATCATTGAGCTGACCAGCTCTGTATCAACAATGGCCAGAGTTAGAATTCAGTTTCTTGAAGTTTCAGACTATAACTTGGACTTTATATCCTTTAGGAAGAATAAGAGACATTTTTTAATGTCTCAGATTAACTTTCTGTCTCAGATTTTAGGTCAAATTAGATGTGTCCCCATGTGATTTTAACAAATTTTTAAAGACATTTTTAATGATAGACATGGAAATAAATAATTTTCAGTGCAATTGAATTTGCATTTTATAAGCAATTTTATGGGTTTCCCTGATAGCTCAGTTGGTAAAGAATCTGTCTGCAATTCAGGAGACCCTGGTTCAATTCCTGGGTTGGGAAGATCCCCTGGAGAAGAGATAGGCTACCCACTCCAGTATTCTTGGGCCTCAGAAGCCTGGCACGATGTAGTCCACAGGGTTGCAAAAGAGTCAGACACGACTGAGTGACTGAACTGAACTGAAGCAACTTTATGGGCTTCCCTGATGGTTGAGATGGTTAAGAATCTGCCTATAATACAGGAGATCCGAGTTCGATCCCTGGGTTGGGAAAATCCCCCTGGAGGAGGGAATGGTAATTTTATGGTAATTAAAAAGAAACACCTGAAGTATTGAACTGATTTGTCATTAAGTATTTTGAGGCTCTTAAAGGAGATACTACAGAAAATATATAGACTTGTTAGGTTGAACAGACATTAGACACAGTCCACTTGCAGATAGGAAAACAGAAACTCAGGGAGGGTAGAAGCTGGAGAAGGAGGTGATGCTTCAGCTGATATTAGGAGTAGAGGGACCTCCCTGGTGGTCTGGTGGTTAAGACTTTGCCTCCCAATGTAGGGGGTGCAGATTTGATCCCTGGTCGGGGAGCTAGGATCCACATACCTTGGGGCCAGAAAACCAAAACACAAAGCAAACGCAATCTTGTAATAAATTCAGTAGAGACAAAAAATGATCCATATCAAAAAATCTTAAAAAAAATAGTAGAAATTCTTTAAATAGACAAGAGGAATGATGGTGACTGGGTAGGGGCAGAAGGCTTTCTAGGTAAAAAGGCAAGTTGTTCAGAATGGTTGGAGGTGAGTGTTCATTGGAGAAAGTGGACGAAGATGAAAATCTAGGTGGGGACAGGTCACAAAGGGCGTTGTGACGTGTGCTAAGGTAACAAACTTCATTCCATTCTGTACAAAAGAAAATACAGGAAAAATTACCCAAGTTGTTGCTTCTCCAGATTTCACTTCTCTTACATGGTCTACATGCTGGCAAATACAGAAAAAGTGTCTCATCTCACATAGCGCTAGGGGGCACCACAGTAAAATTAACAGTTCTCAAATAGCTTTTAAAGAGAACCCACTCTTTTTTTTTTTTTTCTGCCTGAGAAGTTAAGATTAGAACACTTTTCTGAAGAAGCCAAGTGCTCATCGTGTGTAAGAGGATGAACAATATAAGGAGCACCTAATATTGTTCACTGTTTATGCAGTGATGATATTTTCTACAAGAAAAATTTAGATATAGGTTCTGACCCAAGTACTCAAAATAGGACAGAGATTGTTTGGACAGGAATCATGCTGGAAAATGTCACGTATATACACATGAATAGAAACAAATGTACACACTCAGAGGAGAGATGTAAAGTGAGCAGAGAGGCTCTTGGTATAGACCTTGGAATATAACCTCCCTATTCCTTTTCTTTGACTTCAGCTTCTAGCTGCTAACCCTGAGTAGACCTAGCCTTGCCTAATGGCTGACCACCCTGCCCTTCCA